GTGTGTGTGTGTGTGTGTGTGTGTGTGTGTGTGTGTGTGTGTGTGAAATGATTCCTCTCGAATAGCTGACATTGATTTGGGGTTGATTGATTAGGGACACTCTTGCTCCTTTTCACCCACCCAAAAATTGGTGCTCGTTCGGCGCCAGGGCCAGTGCTATGCTTAGTTCACAGGTGTCGAAGTCCGGTGTCCTGCATGTTTTCCATCCCTCCCTGCTGCAACACACCTGATCCAAATGAACAGCTCATCAGCAAAATGATTCCTCTAGAATAGCTGAAATCGATTTGGGGTTGATTAGGGACACTCTTGCTCCTTTTCACCCACCCAAAAATTGGTGCTCGTTCGGCGCCAGGGCCAGTGCTGTGCTTAGTTGGTGCTTTTCAGAAGATCTTACGAAGAATATGTTTGTTTGGTTGTCCACCGGCAAATGGAACAAGTAGGAGCGACGTCATTGCGTCATCGTAAAGCGTCGTTACGTCACTCTTTACGTCGACCTTACCTTAGAGCGCCTGCACTATTAATAATAATGCCGTTAGCATTCGCTAGGCAACGTAGCATAGCATCGATTATACTTGTATGTAGTATAGACTAGCCAGGGACATGCAATCAAGCTGTTTGCGATTATTTCTCCACCTACACGTACCGATAAATAAATAAACAAACAAACAAACAAGCAAGCTCAAGGCGAGTAAATAGCCGGTTCATCAGCTTGCACAATACGGTCACAAATCAGCCCTTTGTGTGATGTGAGGGTCTTAAGCTCATTTTTGTAACAGACACTTATTTTTAAAATGTTAATTGCCGTGTCTCCCTTTCTTTTCTTGACTATGTGCTGGCCCTGCGGCAACGTGATCGCGAGCGTGACTGGCACGGAGCACAAAAATCTCATCATGTGACCAGCAGTGATTTATTGTTTCACATAAAGTCACACAAAATTGCATGGATGTGTGTTGTTAATATGTCTAAAAAGAAAGAAAGGTTATCTCCCATTCCACACCGATACAAATATACAACAAGCAAATTTCACCTTTTTAATGAAAAAGCAACACTTAATGATGATGTTTGAGTCACCAACACTTGAAAGATTTCAGTAGACAAGTGGGAGGAGCCCTTCGGATAAAAGTACGTCAGGTGTGACATCACACTGAGGGGGGAAAAGAAAATAAAGAAAAAAATTTTTTTTAGCTTCACTCTTTTTAACAGACCTTGTCATCATGTTTGCAACGCATTGGCGCCGAGGCCCTTCCAAGTGGCAGGTGGAAAAAAAAAATCATCCAGAAAGTCAGTAGAGCACATAAACAATCCTCTTTATCCCACGGCCTTTCTTGCTCGGGACCCACGGCAATGCAAAATGTGAGAAAAACAAAAACAAAATAATAAAAGGGCTTCCAAACGTCAACTGCCGATTGATTCATTCCTCGCATGAAATGTGATACTTTCGTTCAAATAGTGTACAAGCAGCCCCTTGGTGATCCTATGCCCCTTTTCCATTGCACAGTACCTACTCATCTCAGCATGGCTCCACTTGCTACGGGCGCTTTCTCTCCAATGGTGACAAAGATTTTGCCAAAAACTAAAAGATATCAGGCACCGATACTTAAGCTTCCCCCAAAATTATTTGACATTGAGTTACGTCGGTGGCACTTTGACCCAATCGGCGAATCATCATCTGTATCAGAAAGAAAGATCCTTGCTCACAACGTTTTGTCATTGTATTCAATAAAATTTTATAAATCAACGTAACAGAGCCATTGGTGAGTACCTAAAAAGTAAATATTCATAGTGGTATCAGTTTGAAAAAAAAAATGTAGGTTTGGTTCAATACTATCGAGGCTTTAGTTTGTTCACAAGAAATGCACGTTAGGTAAATTAAAGACTCTCAATCATCTTTGACATTCATGAAAATGTGTGTTTAGGTTCATGAAAGACCCTGAATGGTACTTGATGCTTACAAAAACATGTACGTCAACTTCTAGACTGACTTTGTCTTGATGTTTACAAAAATGTGCATTTGGTTCGTGAGTAAAGACTCGAAACTGTCTCCGATGTTCAAAAAGATGTACGTTTGTTTATTGAGGACTCTAATTGATTTTTGTTGTTTACAAAAAGACTCCAAAGTGTCTGTGACGTTTACAAGAACTGGTTGGAGGATACGCCCGGCTCCAAAACAAAACACGCGTATGCTAACGTTAGCTTACCGCGATGCCGCTTCCTAGCAGCGGACGCCGCATGCTCCACAGTCTCCGCCTTGCTGCGGCAGTCCGTTTTCTTGCGGCCCTCAGTCACGCCAACCACTGAAGAAGTTCTAGAATGAAGTGGAAAACCAACTGCCCCGAACCGCAGCGAGTAGAGCCAAGAGAGTACTTGTGCAGTGGGAAAGAGGCATTAATAAGATGTCGTCACAGTCACTTGTGTTCTGATGGAGGTGAGCAATCAACTCAAATGGCCTCAATAATGCCCATGTTCTTGCAGGCTAAAGCTAAAGCTAACCTCGAAAAAAAATAGCCCGGTGGTTTAGCGATAGCAATAGACTCCAAACTTCTGGTGGCGCGGGGGAAAGCCGAAACTGCGCACTCCCGGTTCCGGCGGCCCGCAGTTAACGCGGGCCTTGGTGATGGGATAGCGAACGCTACCGTCCGCCAGCCAGCCGGCGTCGCAGCGGTCCAATCCCGTGAGCCTCCACGCGGCGTACAGTTGGCCCACTTTGGCGATGTGACTGGAGTTCTCCGCACACGCCTGCAGCGCTTCGGTGAAGTTGAGCTTGGTTGGGCTCGCGAGGAAGTAGACGCTCCCTGCGGAAAGGAGAGCGCCAGACGTCACTTGGCAAAAAGGCACTGGCACTTAAGGCCTTTTTTTTAATGCGGGATGTTTTTCTCAAATTTGGAGGGCTGGTGCCGGCCATTGTTGACCATTTGGACTAATTCTTGAAGTCGTACAGAAAATTGAGCTCAGTAGTTCCATACGCATGGAACCGACCAAAAGAAAACTTTAACCCTCTGCTTTTATTAGCAGGAAAAAAACTACATTTCTACCTTTTTCCATTCTTTAGTAAGCACCAGTTGCTATTTTTTTTTTTGCATTTGTGACACCTCAAATATCTAAACAATGCTTTCCTACTAAATAACATAACACAAACAAAGGTAGGTTACTTTGATTGCAAAATGACAGTTTATTGCAAGAAAAACACTCACTGATGCATGAACTTTTCATGACCGTTTTTTGTGTGCGTGTGTGTGTGTGTGTGTGTGCGTGTGCGCGCGTGTGTGTGTGTGTGTGTGTGTGCGTGCGTGTGTGTGCGCGTGTGTGTGTGCGTGTGCGTGTGCGTGCGCGCGTGTATCCTAAATCTGATCAAAGCCACTGCTGCCATCTAGTGGTAATTTATCATACTGAAATCCTTCCCACGGCTCCTTTATGTGTTTATTTTTTTAAACAAAAAAAAAACACCCAAAAAAAAACGTAATTTTACATGTTGGCATTAAATGAGCTAGGTCGTTTTCAGGTATCAAAATCGGCAGCTAGGCAGTACTGACCTTTGATGGATGCAGAGAAGCAGAAGGCGTCAAAGCGGTGGAGGAGGCGATGGCGTTGACCGTAGCTGCGCAGGCCCGGCGCCAAGTCCGACCCCCCGCATCCGTCGCGGGGCGCCGTGATGGGGTACTGCACGGTGCCGTCGGCCAGCCAGCCGGCGTTGCACCAGTCCAGGCCCTCGTCCCACGCCGTGAAGAGCTGCTCAAACGTGGCCAGGGCGGCGTCCTGATCCTGGCACGCCTGCTGGGCCCCCAGGAAGTTCAAGCGGTAGCGTCCTTTGTCAGAGTAGTACGGAAACACCACACCTATCGCCAGGAAGACAAATACATCATAGCCTCAACCACAAATACAACTCTAGACAACGGTGGCTGTATAAAAAGTCGACACACCTCTGTTCAAACGAGACCAATTTCAAAACATTTTCCACCATCAGTGTGACACAAAATTTGTACAACTCAAGCGGAAAAGAAAATGAAATCATTTTGAGCAGAAATAAAAACAAACACCTGAGGTATTGGAGTTGCGCAACTCTGCACACCCTTCACAGAACTGGGGATATGGCTGTGTTTCGTCAAATGCAAAGTGCCTCTGATTGTCCCCCACATCAAGTTAAGAAGTTCTAGTAGGCTTTTCCTGCCTTTTTTTCTCATCACATCTCACAACACGAGCCTTCCCCCCTCCCCCCGAACCTCAATGAATCCACTCACCTCGCAGCTCTAGTTCCACCGTGATGCTCTCGTCCTCCAACCCGTCAATGACCTCGCACCGGTACCGCCCCGTGTCGTTGAGACGCAGCTCATTGATGACCAGCGACAAGTCGCCCGGTGCCGAGCGTCGCAGGCGGACCCGACCCCGGAATCCGCCGTAGCTGCGGTGACGGTTGCCCATGGCGACCATCACCTGCGTTTCTATGGCGTAGGCCGGCGCGGTCGGGGGGTAGGCGGGCTCGCCGACGGCATTGGCGGGCAACCACGACCACTTGACCCGCGTGCGGCGCGGCGCGCTGAGTTCGGGCTCGTAGTGGAAGTGGCAGGGAAGGGTGACGCTACTGCCCCTGGTGGCTGACACCGACGCCTGCGGCGACTCCACGAACAGACGGACCCCGTTGAAATAGACTGCGGGAAGACACAACTTGGTCACTTGAAGGCAGGGTTGTCCCCCCGCTCCCCAAACACACACACAAACACAAACACACACACACACATAAATTAACCAGGGTAAGTTTTAAGCCAAAATAATTTCATTCCGCTGTTACATTATGCACAGTTTGAACTTTGACACTTTGCTAATAAATACTGGGGTGTTATATAAAAAATTATAAAAAAAATTGTTGTGAAGTAAATATTTAGGGAATAATTAAAATAAAGATTTAAAAGGTGCATAACTAGATATTTTAAAATCAACATTAAAAAATGATACATATTAAATACGGTATGAAAATATTTGACATGAAAATCGAGAAAGAAAACATTTTAAAGTCAAAGATATTGGAAACTAGAAATTACAATGGGACATAGAACATTCAAAATATCAATTAAAAAATATGAACCTGAAACATCAACATATTAAAATGTGTATTTTGTACTGGAAATGTTTGGGTAAGGAACACACACACACACACACACACACACACACACACACACACGCACGCACACACACACACACCGACTCACTTTCTCCGTTGCCGTTGCCGTTGCTGACGTCATGATAGTAGAAGCCGTTGTTGTAGTTGAATCGGACGGCGGCGGCGGCGGCGGCGGGCAGCAGCACCAGCCCACACGCGGCCAACAGAGGGCGCAAGAGACCACCGAGCATTACGCTGAAAGCAAAAAAAAAAAGAAAAAAAAAGAAAAAGTCCCTTGATTACCAATAGGGTGTTTGAATCACATCCAAGCATAAACGTCTCTCAAAATGTGAAAACATTATAAGATCAAATTTAATCTGGGCGCCAAATCTTGTCGTTTAAGGACCCCTCCTGCTCATCACCAACACTGAAGTTTCCAACGAAGAATTTTTTCCAACCTCGTCAAATTGCTCTTCTTCACCAATTGCACTTTGAGAACAATCAAACAAATCTAAATGACGAGACAGTCGATCAAACTCACCGTCTGAGAGGAGAGAAGACTCGCTGATGTGCATGGACTGAATGGATGCGTTCCTGCGTGTGTGGATGTGTTGACTTCATAGTCTCCTCCTCTCCGTCGCCGTAGTAGAAAGACGTCACCACGACGGGCTCCAAAATGTGACCCTCAGGCGACGCAGTAATACGTGGCAATTAGAAGAAAAAGTATTTTTAATAAGCAAAAAATGTTGCATATACTAATAATATTTTTTTTTATGTATAGACGAAAAATTACGCTATTAGTTTGCTCTATTTTTTTCTAAAAAATAAAGTAAAATGTACAATGTACGCTTAACTTATATCTACAGTAATTCAATTATGCCATTTATGAAATAAAAAAGCCAATCACAGGGCACACACAGAAGAAACAACCATCCGCGCTTGTTGACGTATAATCAATCCCTAAAAATGAAAAATGTCTACGAGTGCGAAGATGCACGTCATTATGTTGTCTGATAACGTGTGCGGTGACCATTTTTGCTCAAGTACAAGCTGCCTAAAAGATTTATAGCTCCCCAATATCGATGCTAGTTCTGTTAGTCCGTCTTTGGTGTTAGCATTAAGCTAGCAAAGCGTTTGCTGCAATTTAGCGCATGTATCTCAATTTTTTTTGCTCACGAGTCAAAGTAAAAAAACAAACAAACAAAAAAAACCCAGCTGCCAATCTCCAAAAATTCTCAAGTCAAGTCAGCAGTGATTCGAGGTTCCAGTCTGTTGCTTTGGTGTCATCTTGGTGCGGAGGGGAGGGGCACCATTTAGTCAGGCCTTAGCTTTATCTAATAGAGGAAAGTGCTTTGACGCTATCTCGTGGCCTCTATAGGCAATTACGCAGTTTTGGTGGGCGTCAAGTCACATCCCCCCCCCCCCCAAAAAAAAAAAAAAGTCAATGTCCTGCAATACGTCCCGTTGAAAGAAGGTCATTTGCAATGAGAACAGAAGCAGAGCATGTGTCCAGCAGATCGGCGTCCATGTGGGGTCCATGTTTTGCCAAGACCTCGAGTAGCGCGTCCGTCAAGTCGCGTTACAGTGGTGGAAAAAAAGTGCGCAGGCGGCCAGGGCCGGCCGGCGCTGGGGAGGATTCCGCAGACAATGTGCTGCTGAGCAAACACGTTCACGGCTGAGTGAAGCGCAGATGTTGGCCGCCCTCCTGACACCAAGCCCCAACCTCAACCAACCCCTCGCCGGCGACAAAACTCAACAACATCTCAGAAATCTTCATATGTCCTGCTTCCCTTGCACATTCTTCACTCGCATGCTGAAAGACGTCCTACTTTTTCAAATAATCCCGTCAACATCATACACTGCATGGGGACAAGTATTTAGACTACCAGGGGCAAGTTTCATTTTTCAATCGTTGTATTCCGTTTGCACTAATTTTGACTTTGTTATGCTTTTGCACAGGTTGCTACAAAGTCTCTTTCGGGTCCAATTTGACCTGCGTTTCGTAAAATGGATTCGAAAGTTAATAGTGTGTTAAAGCGCTCAAAATTGACTCTTAAAAATAGAGTACGCATCGTACATGTTTGTATTTTTATGGCCCAGTGGGGACGGTGTTGTGGAGACTGAAATGGTCCCGACAGAATCCCACAGAAGCATTCCAACAGAGACACGCTGAGCATCTTCTAAAAAGTCTTCCCTGAAGGAAATTAAAATGCACGTTTTCAATTCTGTAGGGTAGAATGACCGTGTGTTTGAATACGTGGTACATTATACGTATAGATTTAATACTGTATCACGATTCTTCACATTGATACTCCAACACCCATCCAAAATAACACAGACGATTTTGAACGGAGCTCTCCAGGGAAGCATTTTAGGCCCATTTATTTTCTAAGATTAAGAATTAAGATATCCTTTATTTGTCCCACACTGAGGAAATTTACAGCCTACAGCAGCAAAATTGGGGGTAGAAAGAAGAAAAACAAAGTGTTTGCATTCTCAAAAATAAATGTTTCAGTTTCATTGTACACAGTTCAATTAAGTGCAATTCTATAGTCCGGTCATGTCATCAGTCTTCCCCGAAGTGTGGAAGCTATAAAGGCGGAGGAACAATTTTACTTCCTGTCGGAGGTAGAATGTGTTCTAATGTATTGGTCCATACAGATTATAATATAGCAAAGTACGGACTTACCGTGCAAAGTGCTATCCATTCAAACAAAAAAAATTCAGTTACAATTTTGGGTGGTGTTTTTCAGCAAAGTTATTTTGATCTTCAGTTTTCATTTTCGATAATGATTGAATCCAGTTCATCTTTGTAGCAATGAAAATTAAACATTAGCAAGCCTCTTTCAGTGACCTCTCAAATGTACAAAAATCCTCTCAGATTGACCAACATGTCGAAGAAAGACTTCCACCAAATTGGAAGCAGTTATCGCTGCAAAGTGGACGAACCACAGCATTTTCTTTGTTTCGCTTCCTGTCGATGGAATGTACTATAATCAGTATTGTTGTCCACTTTATAGTATAATCACATACTGGATTGTAAACAGTACCGTTAAAACAGCCACCCACCGCTGAGTGTAGTTCCTCAGGGAATTGTTTTAGGTCCGCTCATTTTTTATTTTATTTTTTTTTTACAAAAAGTTTGAACCTCGATTGCCTTGGGAGTAACAATGAGTAAAAATTCACAAGTATTTTTAGTGTCATCGCAAATGGACAAAAACTGAATGGACCTAAAATAGGTCCCAGAGGAATTCTGCTTAAATTGCGTCTGCTACTTGGGATGCAAGGTGGTGTGTCGCTGTGCAAAAAAAAAAACAGAAACAGCATAATCCACGCAATGCTAAACCAAACTACAAGTCCAGTAAACGGACACGCATTGAGGTCACACTCCTCTTATGGGACGTAACGAAGATACGGATAAGATGATGGACTCCACCCAAGTGAGTCTTGTCAGGTTAAATGAAATGCCGGTGTTTGATCTTTTCCTCAACAGTTGAGCACGGGAGCATTGGAAGCGTGCTGAGCTGAAGCCAATGTGCATTTCTAAGCCGTTACCTCGAGCGGTGTTCCCAGGGTCGCACATGAAAGCTTCCCGCCCGAGGCAACAAATACCAGCAACCCCCCCCTCCCCATTGTCACAGAGCGTTGGAGGGCTATCATTTGGCCGCGGGCCTGCAAAAATTCAAGGCCAGCCACTGCGCGTTTGTTTGTGTTTGTGTGGAGCCCAGGCGCCTATTGTGTTACTATGGCTGGACACACTGTCATTACACAACTTCTGAAGGTAAGTGTGTGTGTGTGTGTGTGTGTGTGTGTGTGTGTGTGTGTGTGTGTGTGTGTGTGTGTGTGTGTGTGTGTATGAAATGAAAGAGGAAGAGTGTCGTCTTGACTTCACGGTATGACAGTCAAACGAGCTGTAATACCGAATCATGATCATTTCCCCATTGTTGTTCGTTCTTCTGCATCCGCTTGAAGAAGATCCAAATATAGAAAGACGCACATTGGTGGGAGGGACCATTTCAAATTCTCTTCATAACATGAGCATGACGTGAGCCAAAATAGTCTATTTCTCTCGGGGAATGCCACCGTGTAAAACAGCAGCTGACTATTCCAGGATGATCTCCTCATCAAAAAAAAAAAAACCTTCCTGCGGCAGGAAGTCGGGGGCTGGAGGGGGGCGGGAGGAATCAGGGATGTACATCGCAGTCAACTGATTAACTCACTCACTGCCGTGGACGCTTATAGTCGTCAAATGGAACCCAACCGTTTACTGCCACGGATAAATATTCGTCGAGCATGTTTTTAGTCATGGAAGAGGGTCTCGCTAATCTTGTCGATGAAATTCAACATCGTAAACCGACGATCGTCACTGTAGCCGTCGCTTTGGATTCAAGATCGGCGCATCTTTCGAGAATCACAAAGATGACGAGCTCGTCATGTCGATCATGACGGAGAGCAACGCCAACGGGTTGGAAAGCCGACAAGTTCCAGCACCTGGCATTCGAACTGAGTATGTATATGTACGGTATCATCATTATATGTTGCAATCGTAAGAAAAGACGACCGTTCACGAAGTCACTGTTGAACCTCACACAGAGGAGGGGAGGAGCCAAGAGAGATTCGCTGTGCAAAATCCAGCATACGTGGACGCCCGTCGCCATTTTGCTGACATATAGAATAATGTACCAGCGGGTACTAGTTAGCCTTCAAGAACAACTGTGCGGAGCTTGCATGTTCCCCCCATGCTTGTGCGGGTTTCCTCCGGGTACTCCGGTTTCCTCACACATTTCAAAAATACGCATGGTAAGTTAAAAGAAGGCTCAAAATTGTCCCTCGGTGGGACTTTGAGTGAAAATGGTTGTTGAGGTGCGTCTTGCGATTGGCTGGCAACCAGTTGAGGGTGCACCTCGCCTACTGCCCCAAGGCGGCTGGGACAGGCTCCAGCATGTCCGCGACCCTCGTGAGGATAAGCGGATCAGATCATGCTTTTTTTTTTTCCCTCAACAAATAGTTGTTTGGGTTTTTTGTTTTTTTTTTAATAGTGATAGTGCACTATTTTTTGCTCATGCCATCAGAATCAGCCCGTGTCTACAAACACAACCATGTTGGACTGCTTACTAAAGATCTGAAAAACCAAGAAGAACTTTCTCCTGGAACTCGTTTCGGCAACTCGACAAAATACCGTGTCTTCAAAAATCAGCCAAAATGCTCCAGGAAAGTATTGCAGGATGGGGGAACTCTTGCTTTGAAAACAGCCAGCAGTGAAAGACTTCATATTCCAGCGTCGATTTTGTATTTTTTTTATCGAAACCGCCACACAGACACTTCACATGCTGTCAACTCTAATTTGAATATTTGCTCCCACGGATTTCTTTGAAGTAAGAGCTATTTAGGGAGGAAGCAGACGAGAGACACTCCTTTACGTCGCTCATTTCTTCAAACGAGTCACACGCGCCGAAGCATTGAGAATAATAAAACGATAACGGGAGCGCGGCGAAGCGGGCGGTTAGCATGTCTGCCTCGCAGTCGACATGTTCTGGCTTCCAATCTCCGGTCATGATTGTGGAACGCTTGCTGTCGACATGTGGCCCGTCAGGGGCTGGGATATAGGCGGCGGCTCACTCCTGGTGAGGATAAGCCGCTTAGAAATGGATGGACGGATGGGGGGGGGAAGGCGGGCCAACCTTCAATCAATCAAGCCGTTTGATTGAGTTTTACTCTCAAGGGTCCTTAACAGTGAATCTGCCCCGAGGGCCCCTGGGTAATGGGTCAATAAAGGTTGTCCAGAGGTCGAGAAGCTGATTTAAAGGGAGAAAAAAAAAAAAAAAAAAACTATCCATACTCACCCCCTCCCCACCTAGTTTATCATCAAAGAAAGCATTCAGACTCTAAAGAATCATCTTGATGGTGTCCATCTGCTTATCATCCTTCATGATCTCCACAAGTATTTAAGTCTTGATCGGCTCCACCTTGACATTTCAACTTTTGTTCCCATGTTCAGGTTTGACGGACGTCTTCGTTCGTGCTCGTTATTTTGTGTTGGCATTGAGCAGAAATCCCACCAGTCCAAATGCATCCATCCATCAATTTTCTGGGTTTTTTTTTTCCCACAAAACTAATATGATGGCTTTGTCCCCGCCTCATCTGCAAATTTTTTGACATGATCAACAAAACCAAAAATCCGCCTCTTGCCTCACTCCAGAGACACCGTGTGCGCTATTATGTCAGCTTTTGAGTTTGAAAGTCAGGATTTTTATTTTATTTATTTATTTTTTTAACCTAAAACCAGACAAAATAGTTAGCCGAGCTACATTTCTGTGAGCCGGCTTTGTTACAAATTCAGGAGCTGGTGAGCCACAAAAAGGTCACTGCAGAATGAATTCCCCTTGTTAAAACTGCTGAGTCAGATCATCGTTGCGTTCACTGCAACACGCACGCACGCACGCACACATTGCTCTGAGACCCCTCAGAAAACGTTTGGGAAGATTTGTTAAGGATTAAAAGCTTGTTTTTGTCTAGTCAGGAAGTCAGCCTGACGGCAAACTTGATGGTTGGCGCAGGAGACATGTTTTACCAGATACTTCCCCCGCCGCCCCCCCTGCGGTGGCATACGATTGAACTCAAAGGTATAATACAGACTTGGAACGATGCGGTCTTTGGTTAACTCAAGCAAGATGGCGTCTTCCTTTTTCTTCTTTTTTCCTTTTTCCACTCGACAGTGACAATCAGCTCATTATATATAAATTATTTTTTTTTTTTTAAAAAGGGGGGGGAGATGTGGTGGTGAACATTTACATATGGGAGCTTTCAACACTTACTTGAATGACCTTCCCAGCAGTCTAATGAGGCTGAGAAGAGTCGAACCTTGGGCAGGGCGGCGTGATGGTGGGAAGACAAGATTAGGCGTGCACGCCGCTCCCTGGGGGGGTTGTGGGGGGGGGTTAAATGCGAAACAGCCAAAACGGCCCTCGGAGCTTCCTGCCTTTTGATCTTGCACCTTTTTAAATGGAAAACAGCTGCAATCAGTTTCAACATTTGAATTCAAAAAAAAAAAAAAAAAAAAAAAAAAAAAGAGCCTTTGGAAACAACTGGATGGAGTACATTTGAACATTTATTGTTGTCTGTTCTAAAGATACAAAGGCCAAACATGGAATGAATCTCAAACGCGGGAATTCAACTGATGCAGTCCAGTACAACAGGAAAGCACACCAAAAAAAAACACCATAAAAATACATCAACATCATATTTTAATCAACCATACAAAAACCGTAACAGGGAAACGCGATATTTACACAAATGTGTGGTCAAATTGAAGCATCATTAGTCTGCCATGTTGTTCAGTGTTTGGCGACCTTCCCCCTCATGCATTTTTCACACCTCCCCATTAATACGCATCGTTATCGGAACCAGCACGACACAATAGCATTGCACGAGCCCATAATTCATAATTTATGGGGGGGGGCAGGGGGGGTGTCAGAAAAGATGGCATGTGTCACATGTACAGAGGAGGGAAAAAAAAAAAAGCTTTGATTTGCTCACAGGGAGTCTCTTGAATTTCTTTGTTCATCCCTGCATTGTTCTTGTCCACATTTTTTTCCCCCCGACATGCAAACACAAATATTAAAAGTGCCATAAACGTGAATGTGGTTCGCCCCAACAAGTAATTGTTAAGTCATGAAATGTCAGTAGCATTTGATAGTGGTTTGCTAGCATACGCTGCCAGCGTTTTAATCTTCCCCGTCAACATGGAGTAGTTGGGTGGTGCTTTCAAGAAAAAAAATTATTATAACAACAAAATGAGTGAAAAAGAGGGGGCACGGCAACCTGATTAATTTCAATGACCAAAGTGACCATTTGACTCACGCATAGACTGCAAAGCAATTCTTTTGTATGTTCCGCTCCGTTTGGCCAGCGACTTGGGTGCCTTTGTGATTTACTCTGTCTGCCGCTTGATAAACCGCAGCAATACTCTGCCACCTCGAGAGAAAAATGAGACAGTCGTGATGTGCTTGAACAAACGAGTCGCCCGGGAAACCTTCAAGACCACCAGTGGAGAGTTTAGAGGCATCCCCAGCTGGCAAGGGTCTCGGGAGGTTTTGCAGGCAGCACAACATTGATCCTGCAGCGGGACCCCCAGCACGGGGGGCTGAAGTGGTTAAAATTCAGAGGGACCAGACACCCGCCGTGAGGTCTCCAGGCTTGACCTCTCTCGAACCAATGACGGTATTTGCTGCCCTCTAGAGTCAAGGACTGGGCAGTGCAGGCACGACAAGGGTTGGGGAAAGGGAAGGAGGAGGAAGGAGGGAGGGTCAGAGGGTCCCGGATCACCGGATCACCGCTACTCATCACAGCCCAGGAGCTCCATCCGAAGGGTGATGCGCTCGTGCCACTCCCACGGCAAGATGCGCACGAAGCGGGCGAAGAGCGGCGGCTCAAACAGGTTCTTTTTGTGGACGTTGTTGTCGCTGTTGCCGGGGAAGATCTGAACAAGTCGGGAGGTGAGACAAAAATTGAAGAAAAAAAAAAAATTGGCAATCTGGACCAGTGGCATAATGGTAAAGGAACAAACAAACTCTGAGTACAACACCAAGCAAATGAAATAATAACTTAGCTGTCGAATGGAAATGTGGACAAACAGGTTAATAATACACTGCCCTCTAGTGGCAGAGTTGTAACTTGTCAACTTTGTACAATAACTGTGTTGATGCCATTTCGAGACCAGTGACACAGAATTCCCCCCCCCCCAAAAAGTGGAAAAAATTAAGATGAAGCCCTCCGAAGTGAACTTAAGCAGACCACTTGGTGTTTTTGGACCAACCTTGTCGTTCTCGGTGCTCTCGTCCTTCACGATGCTCCAGGACTGTCCGTCATCACTGTGAGCCAGTTTGAAGGCCGAGACAAACTGGACGGCGCCGAAATCTTTGGCTCCCTGTGTGATGATTCCGGTGAGCTTTTTGGGAGATTGCAGGTCCACCTGAGCACATGAAAGTTTTCCCCTTTCAAAATGGACAGCGAGAGGTGGCAAAATGACTTGCAAGACGTTCCTCAGTCAAAGTACACATACCGCTAAAAGTTAAAAATAATGCAACACGTGTGCTAGGGACAAGTACAGACTGAAATGTACTCGAAAGATCACATTTTTATTGTACTTGCCACCACTGAGAAGAGCACAGTTCATTTTGGAGCCTCCCCTCCTACCTGCAACCACTCCGATTTGCTGTTGGTGGCGGCGGTCCAGGCGTTGGTCTTGCCCTGTTTGTCCAGCCGGGCGTAGTGAGGGTACCAGGTGAACGCCTCGATGCCCCACGTGCGGAAAGTGCTGGAAGCCGTGATCTGCTGGTCCGACACCAGCCGGGACTTCATGCCCATGGGCTCCGAGCAACCTAAAGCGTTTGAGTACACTGAAATTGAGGCCCACGCGGAGAGTGGAATGACAAGAAAGAGAGACAAAAACAGGATGATGGACAGGAGAAGCGACGCAGAGCACGAATGATGTTAAGCAGCAGCAAACAGGACGATGACGCAGAGAATGAATGAAAAGAACCGACGTGAAGTCTCCCCTTTGAGCCTCCGCTTAGTTCTCGGTGCCTCTAATGTTGTCTGATCTGCAGACCTGAGGCGAGGCCATTTCAAGATTTGAAAACAAATAACAGAATCTTAAAAGGAAGTCTGAAATGTAAAGAGTAGGAGTTGTGTGCTCCCTCTTACGAGTACCAGTCAAAAGGTGAGCAGCAGCATTTTGGACCAACTGGAGCCGCGTAATGGAGGACTGTCTGGCTGACTCCAAAGGCAAGTGCATGGCAGTAATCCAGCCACGCGCTAGAGCTAACAGTGTCTCTCAAAGTGTGGCAGGGGAGGCTCACTCTTGCGGCAAGCGAAGGAAAAAAAAAAAAAAAAAAAAAACGAAATTAAGATGACAAAAAGTTTAGTTGCCCAACTGGGGTGAGCCCTTTTGCCCCCCTCCCCCTGCATAAATGAAGCCGTCAAGCATGTGTCCTTCAACAAGCGCCAGAAATACAGAGCAGACACGACAAACAAGGACGTGCTTGGTTGAACTCGAAAGGTCAAGTTGGGACGTGAGCAATGTCGAAATGACGAAAACACACATAAAGGGAGGCGGTGGGGAACAAAAAAACACTTCAAAGAAGCGAGCGGGACGCTGCATCTTCTGAAAGAAGTCTGCAAACCATCAACCCCGTGCATTTGTTATGAACAAGTGCTTTTGATTAATGGTGTGAAGCGGACAGTCGAGGAACTCGGGGGGGGAAAATTGCCAAGTGATGTCATCTTCTGGCCGACTCCGTAAGCACGGAACCAAGGAAAAATAAAAGATGTCACTTGGAGGTTGGAAAGGCGAGCAAGCCGCTGCGGGTGCGTTTACCGTTGAGCTCGCAGCCCACCAGCTCCAGGCGCAGGGTGCAGGCCTTTCGACACACCACCGGGATGATGCGCACGTACTGAGCAACCACCGGCGGGTCAAACACGTTGGTCTTTGTGCCGTCGTTGTCGAGGTTCGCCGAAAAGATCTACGGGAAAGGAGATTGGACAAAATGGGCCCAAGGGACAGGTTGCGAATCAAGACGTGAGACGTGCCCGAACTTCGCCGCGACCTCTTGAACCGGTGTGACGAGGCAATATTACATTTCTTGTCATTCTTTGTGTTTTGATCAAATCATGTTTGACTTTTTAATCAAGACACCAAGTGACTCATTACGTTTTTTTTTTTTTTTTGAAGGCATAAACATCTCCTTCACAAATAGTCCCCATGCTAGCAACAAAGCGCCACATGGCTCTGGCGCTGCCTTGCGTCGTCTTACTTGGTCCTTGCTCTGGTCCTCGGTCCTGTACACGGTGTACGTTTTGCCGTCCAGGCTGGAGGCCACTTTGAAGGCCTTGACGAACTCCGCCGTGCCGACGCGGCTGGCGCCCTGCGTCACGATGCCGGTGAGGCGCATCTTCCTCTGCAGATTCACCTGAAAAACGCACGGACGGTTTTGGTCGGCAATTGGCCAAAGAATTAACAGCGCAAATCGCCGCTGCACTCCAATTTGTAAATCGCTGCATTTGGATTTTGCTTCTAGGTTGATGCCCACCTTATTTATACGCTTAAAATTCGTTACTTGATGTCATTTCTTGAGATTGTGAATTGACGGTTTTGATAACTGGAAGGTCTCATCATTCAACTTTAACAAATAAAATCATGAAACGCTTTGCCGTGTTGATTTCCTGTTCTGAAATTAGATCTCGCCACGAATCTACGAATGCGTTGAGACGCTTGACTATTTCTAAAACCTCATTCAGAGGAGGCAGCGGTCTGACCTGCAGCCACGGATTCCTGTCGTGGGGGGCGGGGCTCCAGGCGTTGACCAGGCCTTTCATATTGAGGCGCGCCAGCTCGGGGCCCCAGCGCTGCAGGCCCAGGAAGGTGTAGCGGACGGACGAGGCGGAGATCTGGGACTCGGCCACGCCGCCGCCCTCCATGCCCAGCAGAGAAATGCAGCCTGTGGCACAGGTTGAAGTGAGACGTTTCATTTTAGCCTTGGGGACCAATGGCAATCTGAATCATAAAGTATTCAGTTTTTTTTTTTTTTAAATGAATATTTTCAACATTCTTGTCTGCCATACGAGTTGAGCCCATTGTGAGAGTGTCAATCAAATCCAAGCACTTTTGACCAGGACTACTGTATTGCTGAGCAGACTGCATGGAAGAAGCCAAGTTGGCCTTTAGGCTTGACGTGTCCCTCGGAATCGCACGCGCACACTTACGCAGCTGACAGTGTTTGCCCACGTAAGGGGAAGGGCAGTGGCATTTGAAATCCCCCTCCAGGTCCCGGCAGCTGCCTCCGTTCTGACATGGCTGTCGGGCGCAGTCGTTTACATCTGCGGAACCGTGACAAAAATCGGATCGGTATCAGAACGGAAAGCATTGGACGCCGTCGGCTGATGAGACGCGTTAGAAGGAGGAGGTTAGTAGATGCCATGCTGACTAGACTGCAGGTGTCGTAGAGAGAAAAAAAAGTAGGGGTGCCTTTTCGATTTAAAAACAGGACAGATGAGTCAAAACACTACCGTTTACGACGCGGTGGAAAAAGTGTCAAATGGCTCTCGGGGGATTGTGTGGTTTTGTGATTCATATCCAGCACACGCCCTGTGGAGAAAAACAACCCTCGAGTGCAGGCGCAGCACCGCGTTTTCATTGGAAAGGAGTCAAACGGGACAATCGTGGCAGGAGAGCGCACGCCTGCAACCCCTCCTTGGAGACCGCTGGATGGCGCCAACGCATAAACAAACGCGGATCCATCCGAATGGCTCCCCAGTGAGCGGCCACAGAGTGACGAAAGGGGCTTTAAGAAAAAATATGTATGTCAAAAACCTCGTGCTTGGGCTAGCCACACATTCTCCATCATGCGTAACTCTGCATTTCTTGCGCCCAGACAAACGTGTCGATATCTTGACGACCACGTGACGCCTGGTCGAAAAGTCAGACGCATTCAGCGGGCAAGCAGTCATTTTGGACGCGCGACCGTTTACATTAAGATGTATAGACACAACATATTTAAACAATACCTATACAGTAATTGGAATACGCTTAACGACCGGGACACATTTCAAAAAACTGGTCAGGAAGTGATGCTGGTCATTTTACGACATTTTTGGCTGTCAACACAATCATTTCCGGAGTGGAAACGGAAACAGGGCATATTGTGGGAAGCTAATTCGAATTTTGAATTGAATCAATTTTGGCTGCAAACAGCGGGGGCGGGGGGCGCATGGTCACGAACTGACGTGAAGTCAAGTTTCCTTTGCAATAATTAGTTTTGAGCGCCCCCATCAGTCTAAAATCGGGATTGCGATTAATTTGTGGAATCTGAATTCAAACGAAAAATCCACCCGCTTTCATCCACCTCAGGGGAGCTGACATTTTGCCCTGTACCGCCACCGGCTGTTGACGGAAACTGATGTCGCAGTGCCCACAAGCTCCGCTTGCAAAAATCTCAGTTTGCCCGTTTTCTGGGTTTGATCACGTACAATCCATTACATAAAAAAGGCAATATTCAGCTAAGCGTGAAACAAATGCGTGATTTAAAGTTTGCAACTGTGGCCCTATTTATTGATTGCTACACTATCCCCCACCCCCTCCCCGGAAAATGCACAGTTCAAGCTGTAACAACTGTATAGAAGCACCCACGCTTGGTTCTTCCTCCCACAAACAACAGAAAAATTATACATCTCCAATCAAAATGGCCACTGTTGCTATGGTACAGCAACCAAGAGGGGGTGGTGGGAGCTCGAGGCAACGTGGAGACGGGGCCGGGGGGGGAGATCAAACCAAACCACGGTCATTGAATTGAAGCTTCTTAAAAAGGTTTCCAGATGTGATATGAAACGTGTTTGGAGTGCTCATCACGGCTATAAAAACAGCCATGGGCTAAAGTGTACTTTTTAAGAACCACGTGGGATATAAAATATAACGGCTGGAAGAATGATCTTTGTCAGAAGAGTCAAACGGCGTGTTTGATTTTTAAAAAGCTGGCATGCTGAATACAACTGAAAAGCGCAGGCATGATTGCATCTCAAGGCGGCGGTCAATAAATTGGAACCTTTTGAAACTCCTTCGTTGTGAGTGCCATGAAGGCTCTTTTACATTTGCCATCCATGCCGCCATGAACGCGAGTGTGACGTTGTCGAGGGGCAGACTTCATTTGCCGTTCCGCCTCCGCGCGGAATTTCTTTCGCCTGGCAACAGAAGAGCCACTGATGTCCTTCGCTAGGAGTCCAAGGCGCCCAGATATTAATAGCACCTTTTTTTTTTGGTATCCGTTCTATCCCAAAATATGGCAGATTTTCTCTCTTTTCAGGCGCACCCCCCCCCAACTCGAAGGGATAACGAAAGGACATTAAACCACATCAGCATTGCGCCTTTGTGTTAATCAAACAAGCTGCTGCGAGTCGTCATTGTGTAAATAGACTCTTCCCCACCACTACACGTGGCCTTGTGAGGCATACAAAGCAGGAGGTGGCTGCCACTGGCCCACGCGCCAACTAATTAGGTGGCACTTAAACCGTCACAACACGATGTGGAGCTGAAAGGAAGACGGCACCCCCCCCCCTTCCACTAGCAAGATAACGCTAGCAAAGTGCCAGACAACACCACTGTGGCGTCACGCCGAGCTACTATCTCTGTTTACATAGATGTTAGACTACCGTTGTAATGCCTGTTTGCTGGGCTATGTAAGAAAAAAAAAGTGCACTTTTTTAGCACATGAACAATTTCTAGGGTTAGCGTATTTTTTGTAAAATTTAATTGGGGTGAGGGAAAAAAAAAAAAAAAAAAAGCTTTTCTTTGATTTTTTTTTTCTCGAGTTACGTGTGCTAAATGCCGGTAACCAACTTGACGACAAAACAGCAGTTTGGCAGATAGCAAACAGTTCTACAAAGTTTTCCCAAATGGCACTACCAGGTGAGGTTTACAGTAAAACTAAGCATCAAATAAATCGAGTGCATATTTAACGAAACACAATGGCGCAGATGAACGATCAAAATCACGCATCCGTGTCGCCGCGTTAGAACCCTTACAGCCGCGCAGACGTGAACACAAACGGTGCGGCAACACAGCAGGCAAAGACTACAACGGAACTCACTGGCAATTCATTTGAGCAATATTACTGCAGCTTTCTGATCTGTGGTGACCGTCCGTCTTCTTTGGAAACAAATTTGCTATACTGCCCTCTTGGTGGCACTCGCCAGAAAGAGCCACGCGAGGAATGCATTTGCGACATTTCCGTTCATGGCTAAGATTTGCCATCTACTTCTGGGATTATGCGATGCCGTGTCACTGTGTCCAAGTGCCGCTGGAACAAAACGATGACAAATTTGCGCTCAAAAAAAAAAAAAAAAAAAAAAAAAAAAAAAAAAAGAAAAAAAAAAAAGGAAAAAAAGAGAGCTCCGACATGGCGATTTTTTCAGATCGCCGCGTGAAGGAGGCTTCTCTTCTACTGTCAGCAAGGAGAGACGCAGCATGCGCAAGCAGAGAGTCGCTCGAGAGGCGAAAAACTCACGAGCTCAGGCAACACACACATCTGACACGCTTCGTATCAGGTTCATTGCTACGGTTACCTGTTCTTGAGCTCAAATCTGCCCGGTCGACACCTAAAAAGGATCAAAGGGCAAACATGATCAAACGCAACCGGTCCCCCATTTGGCTCCACGCGTTCCTTCACCGTAACTCGGCAGGCTGTTGAGCAAGCAAACAGCCGCTATCGGCCGAGTGGGTCGGCGAGACATTCAAAGCTGCCACCTGCGTCCACGCCACTCATGAAATGATTTCCATCGGAACGGGGAACGCCGGTCGTCTTCCTATTTCATCGGTTTGATGGCCCGCACCGAAACGATGCTACAAAAATCATCGAGCGGGCCACGCCAACTCACCGTTTTGACAGTGGACGCCCTCAAATCCCGGCTGACACTTGCAGACGTATTCGCTGAAGACGTCGCCGCGGCGGGAGTGGCCCGTCGCCGCGCATATGCCGTCGTTCTTGCACGGGTTGGGCTTACAAGGACCTGGTGGAAGAGAAGCCAAAGCGGAGGGAGCTCAACCAAAAGGAACCTCACGCTCCAAATATGTTCAAACACCGCTTCATAGGACATCGTGACTTCGGGCTCACCCGTCTCGATCTCGTTGCACGTTTCTCCAGTGAAGCCGTCGGGGCAGATGCAAATGAACGGAGCTCCTCCGCTTGTCACGCAGGTTCCACCGTTCGAGCAAACATTCACCTCACACAGATCACCTGCGTAGATAAGGCAAAGGGGGTCAGTTCAAGGTCGCGCTTCAGTATAAAACGGCCTTTTTTTTTTTTTTGCGGGTAGTCTAAGGCAGTGTTTTTCAACCCGTGTGGTGTGCCGCGAGACATTGTCAGGTGTGCCGTGGTAAAATATCCAATTTGTATGCCTGTGCGGACTTTCGCCCAGAAAGTAATCATGTAGTACCCTCACATACCGCTAGGGAGCAGCAACAGCTAGCCAATTGCCTTGTGTTTCGACGAGAGACAAGCGAATTTGTGACGCATGAATGCAAGGACGACGGTGAAACAATAAATATGAAAGATGAGAAAATACTTTTTTTCTTTGTGTTCATTTGATTCCAATTCAAGCTGTTGTAATGTCATTCTTCAATGCTAAAAACGGTTATAGTATCAATATAACACATTGATTATTCAAATAAACGTTTTTTTTTCTTCACATTTTCAGCTAGTGGTGTGCCGCGAGATTTTTCCAATGAAAGAAGTGCGCCTTGACTCAAAAAAGTTTGAAAAACACTGGTCTAAGGCACACCTGTGCGCCATTCATGCTGTCCAACCAGTATCTCGATACGCCACACCGGTGAAATGGAGATGATCACATGACATTGCTTGTCCAATCAGTGCTGCGGGAACTTTAATTCGCTCAGTAGTCAACGTGTGACTGTCGTAAAATAAAATTAAAAAAACGTGATACTTATGTCTTGAAATTTTATTTACTTTGTTCTGTTTTTAATGAATGCGTTTTTTTTTATGTCTCGAATTTGTACAAAGTCATATTTTTGTTTTTCACTCATGATGGGTTCGGTGAATGTGCATCTGGACTGGTTGGGTTCGGCACCTCTAACAAGGTTAAGAACCGCTGCCTTAAATGTTTCCCTTCATTACTTCATGATGGTTTGACAGAGCAGAGAGAGAGCAAACTGATGCAATTTGAACACGATGGCTTGAACAGCTGAGTAAACATAATACAAAAGGACTGGAAGCTTCCACAGCGCCCGAACGTGACGACCTGGCAGCGCGAGCGGTGGAAAATTGGCAACGATGGGGAAAATCTAGCAGCTTTCAACATGAATAGACGGGACAAAAGCTACAGACAGATGTGGAAATTCAGGACAGCGGACCATCCAATGTTGAACAAAACTGGTGGTTGATTTTAAGTCTGAAATAAATCAGCATCATGAAAATGGACGGGTCAGGTTTTAAGAAGACTTTCAATGATCGGTGATTTTTTTGTTTTAAATAACATGTTTATTTCCTGAATACACTGCAGTGTTTAGTGAGTATCCACAAAAGTATTCAAGCATTTTGGTCCACATTTAAACAATCTGTGCCATGTCAAAAGGAAGGAAGGGGGGGGGGGGGTTGGAATATGAAATGGGCAGAACTTTATTTTTAGTTATGCCGTAGCTGCTTTCAGAACATGCAAGAAATGAATATCGTATTCCAGAGAATACTTGAGTCGGAACCCTTTCAGAATTAATTGCAGTACCTGTGGATTTATGAGCCCGGTTGCTGACATCATCTAATCATCATATTAATGGGGGACAAGGGACTTAACGGTTTCATACAGCTTTGTTGAACAAAGTTTACACGACTTTAAAAAGCAGAGGAGTTAATGGAGTTGCACTCGAACAGCAACACCGATTCTCAAACATGAACAAAAGAAAGAAATGCATCTTTTAAAACCATGGATGTGTACGATACTGGCGGCAAGGTGAGAGACTGGTTAGCATGTCCGCATCACAATGCGGAGGGTTTGTTTCCGGGTTCCGGTCTTCCTGTGTGGCGTTTGCATGCTAAAGCTGCATTGTGCCATTGACTTTAACATCTGCGTGCTAAAATAAATCTTTACATATAAATCGTATTGTTCAAGTTGTTACCTTAGCTAGCTAGCACTGGTGGCATTTTTATTTTAAAAAAAAAGTTTTCACATCATGTCTTTCCAGAAAACTTCAGTTGAACTCCAAACGATTACACAGCATTCCACTTCAGAAGTCCGACTCCATATGGAGGAAGTCCATAAATAGAGTATGGGAGCAACATGCTGTACATGAAAACAGGAAAAGCAAAGGCCAAGTTAACAATTACAATTGAGATAATTGTTATTGAGGTTGGTGGGCAAGTGTAAAATTGATGCTTTTAAGCTTCGGTGTCGCCAAAACATGCTAAAAATGTGCCACAGTCTTGTCCCCCCCCCACCACCACCACCAAACACCAA